GGGGGGGGGGGGGGGGGGGTTCGTTGAACTTAGGGGTTATCTCTTCCATTGAGCCATTGGTCCTGATTGTCATAACCAGGATGCAACACTTGAGGTTGTGTGCTGGCGTTGGCCTGCTTGCGGAAAGAAGGAACCCGAAGATAGACCCCAAGAGTCTTTGTAGAGACCTCCCCTGACTAACAAGCCAGCCACCACGAACATTCTCAAACTTCCTATGCCTTGAACCTTAGAGGATCAGGCTCTGGACCTCAGCAGCTGCAGAGTGGAAGTCCCATTGACATGCATCGGGAAAGCCCTGAGCCCTATACCAAGATGCATGGCCTCTGAAATATATGGGGCTGCAGTATGTTGCAGTTTCAGGTATCATGACATCTTGTAGGGAGGCACTCGGCGGTGTGAGGACAATACGGGGATATTACGGGCAGATAGTCAGACCTCTAGGCACAGATCCTGCATGGCAAACCGTATCCTAGTTTCAAGAAGTGGGAGTTTGCATGATGCAGCCTTCCGTTATTCCTTTGCTGAGCGTTCGCTGCTGTAGTGCTTGAAAGTGCTGCTTTGTAAGTCGTCTCTCGCATCAGTTCCAGCCATCTAGTTTCCATGCACTTGGATGCCGCTCATCAGAGATGGTCCTACAGAAAGCCCTCCGGACCTAATGACACCCTACACTCCGAACGCTGTCACGATGAGGAGGCCGACGCTGAGCAGGCCTTGGATACAAGATCCCAGGCAAGTGCCTCGTCTACCAGGAAGTGCCAAGCATCTCAAGGTCTACTGTTTAGGGTGTAGGTCCGTGTGTCCGTGTAGGTCTTCTAGGGTTTAGGGTTTAGGGCTGTCGGGATTGGCGGGGTTTAGGGCTGGAAGGGCGAAGTGGTCGAGTGGGAGTACCAGCATTTTTGTCATTCTGGGTTTCTTGACTATTGCTAGGCTCTGGAGTTATGGCATACAGCTCGAAAGCCTTTAGCCATAGGCAGAAGGAAACTGGAGATTGTTGAAGCGACACTCTTGACGACCAAACACTTGTAAACTGCCATCAAGCAACCTTCAACTTCACTACGAAAATGTCAGCCTGCCGAGACCAGCAAAGCACAGTTTTTGCCGTTCCTCGACGTCTCTGGCCCGGGCCCAGGCAGCGATCAAAGCGAAGGAGGTTGGGTCGATGACCTCGATGACCCCCGACTGGACAAGAGGCGCAGAGGGTCGCGATGGAACTGCAGGGAGCGAGAGATCCGAATCGAGCACCACGCATCTGGGGCTCTGAGAGCCTGTTTGGCGAATGCGCATGACTCTTGTGCAGGGCGCGGAAGCAACGGCGGCAGCTGACGAAGAGCTCGGGCACAAGCTCCGGTATCCTGGAAGAGGCCGGCACTTTTCGCGGCATCCGAGGAATTCGGGGTCTGAAGACTGTGCTCTGCGATGACCTGTCTTCGGTTCGCAGGTGTCTGCCAATTTCCCAAATGTCCTAGTGCCGTCAGGTAGGTGGTCAGGCCAGGAAACCTTACACCCCAAAACCTGACACAATCATAACCCCAAATCTTATAAGCCCTAAACAAAGCCTCAGTCGGAGGTCTTTGGAGAGGTGGAGCTGGAGGTACAGCGGCCGGCGAAGCAGCCAAGGATGCCCGAAGCAATTTCCGATTGCACTTTCCCAGGTTTTTAAAGAGGAAAACTGAGGAAAAGCCGGGGGGAGTGGATGCCTTGGGTTTGACGGAGCAGCTTCTCGGCTTCAGTCTCTTTCAGAAGTTGTTAGGTGTGCGACGGTTAGAGACCTCGCGTACAAGCTGCTCCTGCGACCCCATGTCGCTGCTGAAGCTGCAGCGCAGGATCTTTGAGGAACCGCGCAAGGCAACCGAAATTTTCGCCATGGCCTTTCAAGGTTACGAAAGGTGGCGACTCGATTCCTGATTTGGCCGGTAGCCGTGGGGTCTTTTTTTCCGAGCAGGCCAAGTGCCAGGGTGAGCGGCGCATCCTTTCTGTGGCCTTCAACATGAAGGACTACGCTCCTTCCGTTTCGCGCTGTGATGGACCAGTTCATGGATGCCCTGGATGAAGACTTCCGACTTCGGGGAGAGACCAACTTCTCGGAGCTCTTGCCCATACTTGCTGCAGATCTTGCTTGCAAGACCGGTGTCGGAAGAGACTTTGGGCTACTTCCGGCGAGAAATCAAGTGGTGGTGAAGCAGGCGCGCGAGGTCCTACTGGAAGATCCCTGGCCTTGCGAGGCTTCTTGACCCAAGTTCCTTGCTGACGAAAGCATGAGGGAGAAGTTGATTGAACTGCTGGACAGCATCACGGGCGAGGGTGCCACTGTCTTTGACAAGCTGAGGAAGATGGGGGCGGACAGCGGTCTTAGCCCCCAAGGGGCCTCCTTGGACACTTGATGGTCCTCTTCGTGGCCGGCATGGACACCACAAGTCAGGCGCTCTCCTGGGCCTTCTGCCAGCTTGCCTGCCTTCCGGAACTACAGGAGGAGCTGGCAGCTCAGGTGAAGACACGGCCCGACGGCCATCTTCGGTGCAGCGATTGAGTGCGATGTGGCTGGAGACATTGCGATTTTCATGGAGCTGCCCCCTTCCAACATTGAACCCATCACACTTGCCGGCCGCACCGTGCCTCCCCATAATTACCAAGATCTGGCTGCACTACCGCTACATCATGAACAACTCGCCAGAGATGAAGCGGAAGCTGGGTGAAGGCCTGAACATCTTTCGGCCTGCAACGCTGGATCGGCCCCCGAGGCATCGTCAAGCATCCGCCTTTTGACAGTTTGGGCACAGTCCGCGCAGTTGCCTTTGCCGGTACCTGGCAGACAACGAGGGCAAGATAGTGCTGGCCATGGTTCTGAAGAAGTTCGTGCTGGAGAAGTGGACAAGGCCACCAATGGAGGAGCCCACGGGATGTTTTGATCTTCCCCGCCGAAGACGTGGTCATCCGCCTGAGATGCCGAGAGTAGAGCTGAATAGGGATTGAAGTTTTTCATGCAGCCGTTTGAGGTTGTGGTGCTTTCGACAAGCTTTTTCTGCTTGACGAGGAGAGAGGCCTGAAGCCGTTTCATTCGGCGACCTTCATGCTGAGAAGCGATGTTGGCTGTTTCATGTTTTAGCTCATACTTTCGATGCGTATTCATATTCCGATCTTTCATGATAACTTGTGGAGTATCTTCATTGCTACGTATGCAGTGAGGGCCGTGATTGTACATCATGGTGTTGTTTCTGCAACGCACCAGTTGATGTGGACGATGCGCTCATGCGCCAACAGCCACATGGTGCTCACCCGTTGTGACTCGGCCTGCTTTGCTGCAATGCAGCAGGGGCCTGTGCAGGTGGGAGGCATGCAAGGATCATTGCCGTATGCTCCTTTCCAGTACTCCCGTGCTGCCACGACATCGCACATCCTTGCTGAAAGCGCGTGGCTTATGTGCCGACTGGAGGACCTGCAGTGTTTGCTGTGGCTTGCCATGCCCTAAACCCTCATCCCGAAACCCTCAAGCCCCTAAACCCTAAACCCTGAACCCCCAAACCCCTAAAACCTAAACCCCTAAAATTCTGAAGCCAATGACTTGCAGGATTCCCAAGCCTGCAGCCACCGCGGACTTTGCCCGTGCACTGCGGAAGTGGCGAGTTGGAATGACTAAAATCTTCGGTCGATGCTGTTACTATTGAGGAATTAAGGGTCTTGAAGGGTGCCTTTGAGGGTGCCTTTAAGGGTTCCTTTAACATTGCCCTTAGTAATAATATTGACGGTTGTTGATCTTCTTGTTGTCATTGCTACTGTCTGCTGGTATCTTGATTTTCTGGCCAGCAACCTTTTACTTCTCAGATGTCAGGGCTTGGCTGGTCGGTAGGGATGTTTGTCAGGCTCACTCGGGCCCATGGCTGGGATGAGCAGGTCTGGGGTTGGAAAGCGCGTGATGTCTGGTTGAGGGCGCGGATCTGCTAAGGTGTGGCGAAGCCGCCCCAGAGCGTGCGGCTTGCCTGCACATGAATCCTTTCAACTTTTCAACTCTTCGCGTGGGAGACCAGCATGACGCCGTGAATCATGCATTGGGATCACTCAGGTGTCCATCGCCTGGGAAGAAGCTGTGTCTGCCCGGAGCCGTGCACGGCAGGGAGGAAGCCCGTTATCAGCCGCTCTGCGGAGGATTGTCACCATTTCTGCTGCGGTTGAAGCTATGTCAGCCTATTACTTGGTCCGACGACGCCCGAGCCCGACCCATCTTTACCTGCCCGTTTAGCAAGGTTCGAGTGTTGCCAATGTTTCCCGCACCAAACTTCGCCACCACAATACACGAACTTGCGGTTGAATCAAGGAGGCTCGAGAGGGTCCAAGGCTTCTGAGGCATTCGTTTGGCTTCAAGCCTATGCAGCCTTTCAGCGGCACAACGTGTGACCGGCACTCCGAGCCCGAGGAGGGCACCCACGGTGCTTCAGCCAACAGCTACGAGTGGTGCTGCCGGGACATCCCGAGCATCGCGGGGCATCCGGCGAGTTCAAGGGCGCTTGCTGGGACAAGGCAATCAATCGATATCGTTCACGGTTTGAACCGTTTAAAACAATTCAAGCAACAACGCTACCACATTGGCTTCTTCGTGTCCCAGGAGGCCGCAGCACGGGCTTACGACGCACGCCTCGGAAGCGTGTGCGAGAACCAAGCTCGCTTGAGACGATGCTTGACCTGGTTTAGGGTTTAGGGTTATCCTTGAATGTCCCAACTGTGGAAGAGGCTGCTATTCTAGAAGGTGTCACGAAGGCACGAGCGCGTGGCTGGCACGGTCTGCTGACAATGGCACTAGAGAGAAGGAGTCAACAGACCACCTACAAAAGAAGTTCCTCGCATCGCCACGAGCACCCAAGTAAGCAATCACCGCTGTGCCGGGGTTCTCCCGCATAGATGCTCTTTTCCACATCACTCTCGAGAAGGCAAAAGAACAAGACTTCCATACGCATCAAGTTGAGCTGCACGTGCGTGCTCCCGGCAAAGCTTTCAAACCCACCGAGTCCATGCTCACCAGGGACGGCATTCACTGGCGTGTGCAGGAGAAAGCGTCCAATCTCCATAAGCACGGTGGGTATAGAACTAGGATGAGCAAGTACGGAAGGGATTCGGTCCCATCGCTGACTTCGACCTTCTTGTTGTATCGGTCCTTGACAAAGAGCGGCCGCTGGGCGTTTTCATCTTTCCCGTCACTATACTGGCAAAATTTGTAGCTGGTGGTCAGAAACCGATGGATCTGTTCCTCCACCCGCCCTGGACCTTGCCGAAAACAGAGACCGCAAGATTCAAACACGCATGGCAGCTGGAACATTTTCGTGAATGTTTGCAGTTTGGATGGAGAGGCCCTCCTCTTGCCAACTGAGTGCACCACCGCATCAACCATCTGCTCGACCGGCTGCAACGCTAACCGGAACTGTGTCGTGCGTGTGGATGTCGTGGGAGAGCTTGGGGCTCGACGGTAAAGGGCGGGGGAGGGGCCTTGCCGTGCCTGCGAGCTGATTTCAGAGTTGTTTGCCTGTGCGGGGTGAATTTGTAGGTGAAGCCGGTGTGCATTGTCAACCGAAGCATACATGACCGCTTCTTAGAATCTGTTAGAAGATCCTTAAGCCCTAAACCCTAAACTAAACGACATCCGACGACCAACAAGATGAACCAGGATCCGCTGGATGACTGCATCACGCCGGGGTGGTAGGAGTTTGGTTTTAACGACGTTCTCACGGTTTAGGGTTTAGGATTTAAGGTTAAGGTTTAGGATTTACTTCAGGGTTTGAGGTTTAGGGTTTAGGGAAGGCTGCGAGGGATTTGGCCGGGCGAGCTCAGTTCAAGCCTGTGGAAAAGGGTTTAGGGAAGGCCCACGTGGCTGTTGCGTTCCTCAGGCGACGACCACAGGATCACGAGACCCCTTTCAGAGCTTCGACCTCTACGGTCAAGGATGGGAAGGGGACCCTAAACCCTAAACCTAAACCCTATCGCAGGAGACGAAAAAGGCCCTCAACAAAAAAAAACTAAACCCTAAGCCCTAATCATCAGCAGCTGAGGTTATGAATGAACTGGATGGCCTCGCAAAGTTTGCCCGTTTGCCTTCCATGGTGTCTTGTCTCGCGGTGTTGGTCTCGGTCGCTGTTTTGTCATTGGCTTTTTCGGTTCTTGCGAGGAGGGCGAAGGCTCTAGGACTCTAGGACTGGACCTTGGCATGTGCGCCTGGTTGAGGCCATTCCCTGACCCTCCGATGACGGATTAGGGTTTTAAAAGGTTTAGGGTCTAGGGTTTCAGGTTTGTCGGAATCTTTGCAAACCCCTCCTGATGCCCCGAGGGGGTCAAAAATCTCGCGGGCCGCGTCGCTTCCTTGGGGCAGAAGCGCCCGCTGCTTGACATGCAACTCCGTGTCAGGCTTTTCTCGAGTTTTTGTGATTGCAGCCTGGTTGAGCCCAATGCCTACTGAGACTTCTTGGCCGGACTGCGCCCTCAGTGAATCCTGAAATGGCGAGGTTCCCGTCGTTCTGGAGCTAGGTCGATGTTTACGTTTCCTAAACCCAACTCCCAAACCCCACACCTGGGTCCTTGTTGGATACAATTTAAAGCCCTAATAATGATCATCTTTAATTGATATGGTCCCGACAGGGAACCAGATACCTAGGCTCGACGAGGAGGCAGAGGAGTCTCAGTCCATCTATGCTGGAGACGATGTGCAAGATGTCGGCAAGGCCCTGAAGCCCAAACTGCCTATCCGTGAATCGAGGCTGCATAGAGAAGCATCCCAAATGTAGGAACCTAAGAAACCCTAGGTCTCCTTTTGGGTTCTTCAGTTCTTTATGTTCTAGGGCCAAGGTTTCTTAGTCCGGTTCCTACTTTACATTGTGCCTCAAACTTCTCTTGGGCACTAGAAGGCCTCATGCTACTTGAAGCCCCTATGCTACTCGATGGTCAGGCCGAAGTGGCGCTGCTCGGCGTACTGGGGGATGCCCAGTCGAAGGCTAAGCCTACGAGGCTGGTTTTGGGGGTGCGGCAGTGTTGGTTTCTTTTGTGCAGGCGTTTGGGCTTGTAGATGTCGGCTTACTGTTTGGAGCTTAAGACAGACATTGAAGACCAAGCGGTGGCCGGTCAGGCACAGAGCCTGCTTAGGGTTCGGTTTCCACGGTTTTACCTGCGGGTCGGTTCCGGTGTGGTTCGGTTCTCATGCGGTTCGGTTCCTGCGGTTCCAGTTCTTCCGGTTCCGTTTCGGTTCCACGGCCCCTGGGGCTTGGTGGTGAGGTTCAGGAGATGTTTCAGGTTTCAAAAACGCCGGCTAGAAGGACAGGCAGAAGATGCACTCACGGCTGCTGAATCTGGGCTCCAAAGCGGTTCGGCTCATTCTAAGGGCCCAAGTCACTATGACCAAGTTCTTGGGCGGTGTGTCCGTGGCTCATCTCTACATCACGAAGGCCTCCTGGTCAACCAGCGCCAGCAGCTGGAGAAGCGGGTGACCCGAGCACCGATATCCGTCTGCGCAGCTCGGTGTATTGTCATTGCATTTCCACTTGTACTTTGAGTCTCACGATTGTTATGCTGCTGCTGAGTAGGTTCACTGAGGGGGCGGCCGTAGACATGGAGTTGTGTTCACTACTCTCGGCTTGCTCGCAAGCAGTTTGAATGCTAATATTCCCTTCCCAAACCTTGCGAGCGAGCTTCAAGTTCCAAACATCCCGAAACCATGGGCATACCTCATACCTCCTGACTATTTAGGGTTTAGAGTCTAGGGTTGAGGGAGTGGAAAGCCTGCTGCAAAAGGGTTTAGGGTTCAGGGGTTACAAGGCACCGCAGGTCACCTGCAGAGATGCGACCAACTGCCTTTGGAACCAATTGAGCCCATGAAGCCAAAACACAGCACCCCCCAAATCCCAAACCGTAAACCTTCTCACCGTAATCCTACGTCGTCACCAGAAGCTTGAAGACCCACTCTGAGGCGAGGCGAAGCGCTTGGAGGCGCTTTGCGGATTCTGAGGTTCAAGTTTTGGGGTTCAGATTTGCTGAGTTGTCGGCTTAGGGCCCTTGCCCCGTGCATTGCAGCTTCTTTATGAGATTTGCGCAGAGTGCCGATCTCGCGCCGGACTTTTGGTGGATCCTCCACGTCACCGTGCCATCGATGCCTTTTTGTCTTGTGGCTTGGAGTGCCTGCCAGGCATTGTACCAACATGGCCGCAAGATGCACGCGGTTGCCAAAACCGGACCGGGATTGGTATCATTTTGCCTGCAGGCACTTATTCGCCGCTTTGCAGTGTCCACTGCTCCTGCATGCGATTGCATGCGCACAGCTCTTTTGACCACGGCGGAGCGAGGTGATCGCTGACATGGTCGGATTGATTTGTGTCGTGACTCCTTGTTGCCTCTGCGTCTGTGCTCCAGAAATCCCTGCTCCCAGCTGCGTGCGTCTATCGCAAAGATGGCACGCCAAACCCCACACAGGCACTACCTCAAAGACAGCGCCATTCACCAGACACTGCACCCGGTTCGTGAAGGTGCGAGACCCCAAAACCCCCCAGCCAGCTATACCACAAATGCGACTAAACCAAAACGGCCCAAAACCCCTAAACCCTACAAGTCCTAGACTTCCTAAACCCTGAGACCTTGGCCCAGCTGGGTGGGAAGAAGCCCTAAGCCTAAACCCGAAGCGAGCTACTCTTCGAAGAGGCCTTGAGCCGACGCCTGGACCAGCGCCGCGCACAGACACGCCGGGTGCAGCTGCACCTCGACGAAGGGGGGTTTAGGGTTTTGGGTTTAGGGTTTAGGGCTCTACTGCGGCATACCGTTCGATTCAGTTCTGCTTTGTCTCAACCATTCCGCTGCAGCAGCCTCGCAGTCCCTGCTGTCACGAGTCGGCCTCGCGGATGTTCAGTTTGAGTCGGAGTTTCTCGTCCCTAGACTTCACCCAGCTGAGGGGGGTTACTTGTCGCAGGAAGCGTCCCTAGCTAGGGAGCCTCCGGCGATGCCTTCTTGTCGACCAATCCTGAGAAACCTGTACACGTTTATTTCTGCAACCTAACCCAGCCCATCGTTTCTCGACTTTCCATCCTTGCAGGTCTTGTCTGACAAGTTTACGGTTTGCAGTGGTGTGCTACTAGAACATCAGGATCCACATGCCGCAGGCCTATGCACCTGATCACCCCGCCTGCTTCTGTCCCATCGCATGTTCTCCCGCCGCAGGTTGTGATTTGAAGGCATGAGGATTCCCAAGTCCTTCCAGGTGGCAAAGCCTGAAATCCAGGCCGGACTTGCTAAGGCGGTCATGCAGCAATTTTTTAATTTTCAACTTGGCTTCCTGGTGCCACGAAGTGGCCCAGCCTTGTACACACAAGAGCTCTAGGACAGCTCGTTTGAGCCACAGCTTTGTGCGGTGTTTTTGCTTTGGACCGAGTGAGATTGCGATCTTGTCGCTGGCTCAGGCGTCGGTCCTAGAACCAGCTAATGGCTTCGGGAGACGGCTTCCAGAGCCGTCCCCGGTGGGTGCTGCAGGCATCCAGCTAACGACTCCGTACCCGGTGCACCGCGCACGCCTGCTGAGAAGAAGCACCACGGAAACTCAAGCCTGAGCCTGTACCCACCAAAAGACAAAGCTCCCAGATCCTGACCCTAAACCATGTGGGTGATTCTCTGGATTCGGGCTCCTCACGTGGATTCATAAGGTTATACGGGTGTCTAATTGGGTTTCCATAAGGGTCCTCTAAGGGCTCTATACTGGGCAGTTCTCTCTCAATTAGGGTTCCTTTTTGGTGTCCCTTTTATAAGGGTGCCGTACCATTTGGGGACCGAAAAGAGACCCTAAAATTAGAGAACTACTGTACCCTTTAATCAAACCTCGCATCGCTCCTCTAAACAGCCGCTCCCGGGTAGCCTGGGGTCAGAGGTGTAAAGCCTAAAGCTTAAGGATGTTTAAGGGTTAAGGGTTAAGGGTTTAGGGTTTAGGGTTTCGGTTTAGGGTTTTGAAGTAGTAACCGGAAAGGTGGAACATCATTATCTTAATTGCCTTAAGGTAAAGTCGAGGGAATCCTACGGTTGAAGGTATAAATCCTGCATGACCCACAATAAGGAATATACCATAATTCCCGCAGTTTAGGGTCCTGAAGGTTTTGCAGGATTTATATCTTTAACTGTATCACTTGTCACCCTACACCCGTTCACTATACTGTAAGGCTTAAGGATGTTTAAAGGTTTAGGGTTTGCGGTGGCCGAGGTCGGCAAGACTCGAATCCCAGAGGCAAAAAGGGTAGGGTGACCGAAGCGAGGTACAAAAAGGCAATATGAGGCGAGGTCCGATCAGGTAAGGTTCTGGCAGGGCAAAGAGTGTTCAGCTAGCTAGAGCTAGGTAGTCCAGCATAGCATAGCCCAGCATGATCAGCATGATCTAACAACATACCTGGCATAGCTGTAGAAGATTGCCAGTGCCCAGGCCTAAACCCGAATCAAACCCTAAACCCCAAACACTCATATTATAATACGTACCTCCCATAGTAAGGCCAAGTACCCAGACACCCCAAAATCCCTGAACTAAGAAGTATACTTCAACTCATACTAGAGATCCTATTACCATTAGAGGTAAAACCGAGATTGGAAGGTCTGGGTGGGCTTATCGCACTGTCAGCCGAGCGCCGTGCAGCATTGGTAACAAGTCCGGCCTCCGGATGAGCAGCGCTAAGAACTCCGAGGCTTCCTCCGATGATGCAAGCAACATGAATGACAGGCTGTTGGAACGAGAACTGCCACAAGAAGCGGCATAAGACTTATTTATCAAGTTCCGGACATGCATGGGCCACCGAGCCTGAAACTCCATGCCAGCAGAGCTTTGGGACCTTTGGGATTTGGCTGGATTTGATTTGGGCTTAGAGGATGCGGGACTGAGGAGGGGGTAATCTATCAGAACTGAAGAAGTCGAGAACCCAGATATGGAAGCCCTTGTGTGTTAGCAGTGGGCTGTTTGCTGTTGCCTCCCGCCTGCGGCGGCTGGGGCGTGGCGTGAGACATGGCGAAGCCACGCCCGGATGGCGAGCGGAGGCCGAGTATCTCCTCGCAGCCGCTGAACACGGAGCCTTGCTGGAAAGTACCAATTCCCTAAACCCTAGACCCCAGTTTGGGGTTTCGGGTTAAGGGTTTAGGGGCGTCTTTGTTTGGAGCCTAAAGTTGGGTTTTGGGCCTTGAGGCTGTATATAATATATAGGCCGAGGATTTTTGAGTGTATGATGTTTTCCGACAGTGGGCGCCATATCCAAAGCCATGACCAACACGACAACCGCCGGAGGGTTGTCGGTCAGCCTACAAGTCCGGTTGGCTACAGGAATAGCACGAGACATGACGAGAGACTTCCTTAGAGACCAGCGGCATGGTAACGCAATCCAACACCTTCAGAGTCGTTGTTCCTGTCTTTTTACTTCCTGCTCTTAGCACAAACACCTGAAGCTGCAGCCTCAGAACCCTAGACTCTTTTCCGAGTGTGAGTGTTTTTGACCCTTCAACCCTAGTTCTTTTGTAGGTCCCCCCGTAAAGTCCAAATCAGGGTTCAGTTTAAGGACTTACAAAAATGAGTAGGTTACGGCTTACGGTATCCTTTTCCCTGAACCCTAAACCCTGAACCCTATACCCTGAACCCGAAACCCTGAACCTTAAACCCTGAACCCTAAACCCCAAAACCCTGAACCCTAAACCCTGAACCCCAAACCCTGAAACCTAAACCCTGAACCCTAAACCCTGAATCCTGAACCCCAAGACCCTGAAACCTAAACCTAAACTCCTAACCCCCAAAGCCCTACACCCTAAACCCCAAAACCCTAAACCCTGAACTCCAAAACCCTGAACCCTACACCCCAAAACCCAAAACCCCCAAACCCTAAACCCTGAGCCCTAAACCCTAAGCCCCAAAACCCCAACACCCCAAAGCCCAAAACCCTGAACCCCAAACCCCCTGAACCCCTAAACCCTAAACCCCAAAACCCTAAACCCTGAACCTTGCTACGTGGGAGGGAAAAAACCCTAAAACCCCAGCATCCAACCCTCCAAGGAGAGGCGGGCCTCGGAGCGACTGAGCCTTGTGCTGCGCTCTTTGACAGGGGTTTAGGGTTCAGGGTTTACGGTTTAGTAATCAGGGTTTAGGGGTTTAGGGTTTGGGGTGTAGGGTTCAGGGTTTAGGGTTTAGGGTTTAGGGTTCAGGGTTTATTGGTAGGGGGGTTTAGGGATTTCGGGTTTAGGGTTTAGGGCTGATTGGATGGAGTTCCGGGTTCAAGAAAGTGGGTTTAGGGCGCAGACTTTCCACTATTCAGGGATTTGCCTTAAATCCTACTAGGCATCCGAATTCAGGGCATACTCCTTCATTGAATGATTTTGGGAGGCCTGGGGGGATTCGTAGTACTGACAATCGGGTCCCTTTTAAGAGGTAGGCTCCCGAGAAGTGTGCTATAGGGCTCTATATATCAGGGTTTCTTTTAGGGGGTTCCTTATGATAGCCTAAACAGGTTCTTGGAAGGGTTGCTGGGGGCCGGCGGGGGGGGGGGGACGTAGAGGGGCCTTGCGATTAGAACAGGGTTCTTGGGTTTGCTGTCATTTAGCGGACAACTTATAGCTTTAAGCCAATTTATAGCATAGTATACCCCAGCCTGGAATTATTATCAGGGACAAGATTAGGTCCTTTGCGTCTCATTTGGGGCCGGGCCGCTGGAGTTCTCGCGGAGATTGTGGTGGCAAGGGACGAGGATCTCGAGCAAAGCCTCAAATCCTCTTGGTCATCATAGTGTTTCGGGTTCAGGCTTTAGGGTATTTTTTGTAACCCTGTTGGTAAGCCTTCGTAGTAACCCTTAGTCATAAATGCCTCTCGGATGCCTGAAACGACTGATTGAGCCGGTCGCAGGGTCTGCTTTTCAAGCTGAAGACCATGTAAGATGTCAACCCAGGCCGTTTCAGGCAACGCTTGTTGTGAAGGATCGGTGCATTACATACTGGCCACATGCATCACGGCTCAAGGGTTAGGTGGGGAGAATCTTCGGCGGACAGCTAAGGAGGGCCCTTTGGCAAGATCAGGTTGCAGCCCCAAAATCTTACATGATAGTGGCAGCCGGAGGCACAGATGTAAAGAGTGTTTACAACCCCGAAACGCAGGAGACCCTGGCCTCAAGACTTATGTAGCTGCTGAGGTTCTGACCTTGTAACACAGCGAACTGTCACGACGACTGCTGTCTTATGTGACGGGCAGTCTGCAGAAATCCAGCTTTCCACTCCTCGGCAGCCATGATCGAACCTGTTGCATTCCAGGATGAGGCGGTGTCAAGCCAGGTGCATCCCACGATCATGGAGGTGCCGCCTTTGAACCTGCCACAGGAGCTGCTACACTTCATGCATCGGGATGAGATGAAGGAGCCGGCGAAGCCGGCAGATTTGCTCATCCCCCTGACGCCCCTGAACGAAGAGCACTACACCGAAGCCGCGCAGACGGAGCGCGCTGGGCACGGTCGGCCCAACCAGAGGGTCCGGCCTTTCCTACAGAAACCGGCGCGGACAGCCAGGCCAAGTGTAGACAGATCTGCCAGGATTGCACAAGGTCATCGCCAAAGAGATGCTGGGCTCGTCTTATCAGGAGCTTTCTTGAAGTGACGAGAATAAGGAAAGCATCTCATTTGCTGTAGGTCCACATCATATGACGACTTAAAGGGACCCTAAACTCTAAACCCTAACCCCAGAACCCACGATATGTCTCCGATCACAAAACCTAGGACATGTCTCCGATCACCGCTGCTCGAGAAGCCACGGCGAAGCAAGCGAAGCAGCGCTCCCGGCGTGGTCGTGCCAGCGATGCAGAGCCGAAGCAGCTGCCTGACCGACCCCAAACCTACCTTTTTGTAGGGTCTCTACAAATTCATCTTGAGGGGTTTCTTTTCAGAAGCTACCAAAATATCAAGTGTGGTTTAAGGCTGCCGTTGCATCGGGAGATCGATATGGGCTGGCGCGATCTGCTGGACGAGATCGCCACCTCTAGCCGGCGAGTGCTGCTGGCCAGAGGTGGCCAGACGACCATTTTGCCACAGTCTGAAATAGTCAAAGAGACTGCGCGAGCTTATTTGCGCACGCCCTCCCCAGACGAGCTCCTGAGCTTTCCAGATGCTGAAGAATCCAGGCCCCGATCGCGGACGCGCTCGAACATCTCTCCTGCTCCAGAGGAATGCAGGCCGCGATCCCGGACGCGCTCGACCATGTCTCCTGCTCCAGATGAATTCAAAGCACGATCGCTCAGACGCTCGACCATTTCTCCAGGTCCAGAGGAAGGCAGGGCCCGATCGCGCACACGCTCCAACATCTCTGCAGCTCCAGAGGACTGCAGGCCACGTTCGCGAACGCGCTCCAACATCTCTCCAGCTCCAGAAGAGAAACCTGAGGAAACCGCCACCGTGCCACCGGACCATGCGCAGGACGACGGCCTGTGGCTTTCCTATCGGATTACAGAGGAGAAGGTGCCCACCGCAGTCTTGACGAAGCTCTGGAGTTTAGCGGTGGATCCCCGGAAGGACGAGGACATCCCCCCCATGGAGCACGTCCCGCGACTCACCGTGGCAAAGCGGGAGGTCCCACTCCCCACGGTGCACGACATCCCCCAGTGGCGCCGCACCAACCTGCGCCGCCGAGAGCAGAGGAAGCTACGTCGAGAGGCAGAGCGGAACCCCACGCTGGATGAGATGCTGACAAGCATCTCCACTTAATAGTCACGATGTTACGAATACTGTGGGGTGTAGAAACACAAATGACCTAGAATAGGTAGCAATACCTTTGAGAGTTTGATATGGGTGTCAAAGTCCCAGCAAACAGGCAAGAATACCATTGAATTACAGTCGTAGTAAAAACTGTTGCAACAGAACAAGCCTGAGCTGTGCAAACGACGAGCCGCAATATTTCGAAGTGATAATGGGTACTCTAGCGGCCTCAATAAGTAGAAAACGGTTTTAGGTATATCTGTCTATAATGACGGTAGGGAACCCCGAAATAGCATTGGTAGTTATTTCGACCACTAGATTGTTCCTTCGATCCCTCTCAGCCCGTTCCCTACCCTAAGAAGAACCCGAAGCCGTATGTGAGAAGGAGTACGTAGGCATTCACAGCAAGAGCCACAACGATAAGGATAAGCTTAATCACAACCATAGTCATCGTCATACCCATCGTCAGAATCTTCATAACCATGATGGGACTGATGATGAAGGTGGTTGTGGTGAGGATGATGATGACGATGGTGATGCAGCGCCAGGTTCAGGATTTAAAGCTGCCTCAAGCTCAAAATCAAGGCATTTTCGGCGAACCGGAGATGGAGAAGCTGCTGACGGCGGAGAATCACGTATACCAGTATCGAGCAGCTTCCCTGCTGGCCGCCGTGGCTGATGAGATGTCGTCGCCGAGTGTAGCTTGGTATCATGGTATTTTAAATGTATAGAGGTGTCGTGCGAGCTCATAAGGTATTCAGACGGAGTTCAGAGGGTTTTACATGGGCTTGTCAAGGGATTCACAGCATATGTTTACAAGTAGCTTCGTTGTTTTCCTCTTTGTATACTCTTACTAGTTCCCCCCGCCTTGAGGAAAGGTTTCAGAACCTTGCTTTACAAGCGATTGCAAGTAGGAAGTAGGGCCTTAAACTACTGAGCTTTATCTACACGTCGATCCTGTAAGTCTTATCGGCCCTTAACCCCACCCACCTAGACCCTCCGCTCTCCAAGAGGTGAATCCAACAAGGCCAGAGCCCCGAGCCCTGAACCCGAAATGAGCAATCCGAAATACTCATCGCACGTTTGTCCTCTGCTTGGATCCTGCCTTTGCATTTTCGAGGGCCCAGTTTTGCCAGCGCGGAATGTTTCGGAAGCATGGCATAAACAAAAATGTAACCTTGCTTGCCTGCTGCGAGTGTGAGAGCCGCAGCCCTAAACCCTAAACCATGTAAGTCTTAAGCCTGAAACCCTGAACCATGAAGCCCCCAACTAAACCTTAAACCCTGAGTCCTAAGTCTTCTTAGCTCTACAGCCCTTGGCTGAAGCCATTTTGGCTCAAGGCTCGAGCTCAAGGAGTGCTCAAAAAGTTAGCCCCGCCTATCCGTGCCTTACGGATGGAACCGGGGGCACACGCCTCCCCTCCGGGGTTGGCGAGCGTTGTGCGACCGGTCGCGTGCGACCTAGGTGGGATAAAGCGGCTGCTGGATGAGCACGCAGGTTTACGGCTTCCTGCAAGCGACGCATCGCCGAATGCGTGACGACACGTTTGCTACGATCGCTAAGAACCTGGCAGCGGAAAGGGATGTGGTTGCAGGGTTAGCTGATCTTTGCAAGGAGCTGGCGGAGAGAGTACGGAAACTAGAGCGTGACCAGAAAGCTGCCATTGGAGGAGTGTCGGAGACAAAGCCAGCAGGAGGCGTGCCAAAGGCAAGACCGCCTTTGCCACCGAGGGTTGTAAGGACCAAGCGGAACATAGCGGTCTGATGTGTGCACGACAGATGAGGAGCAGAGTTACTTGGATTACAATTTGAGTGCTGAACACATGGAGGAGGACTGCACCCTGGGCGGTAATATGGAATCTGAAGACGTTGCCGATGATGATGGAAAAGATGCCTGGGACATGGAACATGGCTGCGGCACTGGCAAGGGTCGAAGGCAATGCTGTAGACGTTCATGGAACCGCTTGGGTAGGAAAACCGGATGGGGCCGGTCAAAGGCTCATTGTGGTGATGGTGAAGCATCCTAGGGCACGGACTATGGTTGCGGTACAGACGAACACCGGAGGCAATGCTGCAGACGCTTATGGAACCGTTATTGCTGGAAGGCCGGATGAGGATCTGATAGCTACAGACGCCATTATCATGGTGACAGTTGGTTGTGCGGAGCATCTGAATGTCTGGATTCCAGGGTCAAGTTTGGCTAACTGCTCAGGTCGCGCACATGAGAAAACTGTGACTCTGTGTAGCACGACATCTGGTTTCTGCGACCGAGATTCACAGTTTTGCGCTTGAGCAGGCTATGATTTTGTGTTTTCACGATGGATGGTTCCTGCGGACGTTGGAGTGAGATGCTGAAGGCATATGGGTTGTCTAAAATGGGTGACCGACTAACTCCTGGTACAATGTTACAGGTGCATCATTTCGTTCGGGGCATGTAGATGTCGAGAATCTTCCACTCCTTGCACCACGCGCATGGCTCAGTCTGAGATGGTTGGGGTTGTAGCAAGTGAAGGTGCGTAAAGGGGCCGAATTAGCTCGGCCTCACGGAGGCTTCCGTAAGGTCGTACCCATGTGCAGACGGAAAAACGCCGTCAACAAAAAAATCCTAAACCCAAACACCTAAACCCTAAGCCTAAGCTGGCATGCCGACTCTCCTCCCTGAGTTTAGTCAGCCTTTTGTGAGCCTTTGAGTCCCGACTTGTTTCCACCCGAAGCCGTAAAGGCGTGCAAGCCAATTGATGATCCAGGCAATGTCCTCTAATTGGCGGGTGTTTGGCTCCTTAGAATTCCGACTGCCTGCTTTGTAACCGCCACAGTGAACTGCTGTACCCTGCATTGCGGCCTCGTCCTTGCTAAGTAGGAGGGAAAAAAACCTTAAACCCAAAGGCCATCCAGCTTCTCATGGACGAGTTCTTGGACTCCCTGCCTGGCCACCAGCACCTTGAGCCGAAACTCCTCGGGTGGCTGGGCTCCTTTTTGAGAATTCTTTTGGGGCTTCCTCTTATTCCTTTTAGGTCTAGGGTTTAGGGTTTCCCACAGGGGTCCTTTTTGGGTTCGTTTTCGGGTTCCTTCAGTCTTTCGTTTACTAACACGGCAGCTAGAAGTGTCCTGCTTTGGGTTCCTATCGAAGGGTTGCTATCCCATGGCCATGTTTGATCCCAGAATGTTGCCCATCTCCAAATAGTCAGGCAGCAGTCCTTCGAAGGCCAGATCCTGTTTAGTTCCAGATCATGGCACACAAAGGCCTTCAGCCTCTCCAGGCAAGACACGAGGTAATCTCATGAAAGTTGACGTGGTGCTCTTGTTTGCGATCCAGGTTCTGTTGGGAGCTCACTGCGCTCGCTGTTAAACAGGGTTGCTACAAGGCTTACCAGGGTACTAGAAAGATCATTCCAAGGTCACTTCGTCGCGGTCGCCGTGGGGCCTTCGACGAAGGGCAAGCGTCGGCGAAGTTGGCCCTCTCCATCGCGGAGCAGCAACCTAGTAGCAGTTTGATTTCTTGTTTGGGTTACTACGTACTACAAGGGTTGTTAAAAAGGGTTGCTTTAGGGGTAGGCTATAAGGGTTAATTTACTATGTCGGTTGTAACGGCTGCTTTCAGGGTTGCTCGAATTGTTTGTATAATTGTTAATGTTTTGGGGTATCGAGCAGTTAAAGGGCTTTCGATGTTTCTTATTTAGTGGTTAACCTTTACTTTCCTTAGGCCGGCTTGTCGAGTAAGGCAAGCGAGGCTTGACAAGAACGTGGTGCGCAACAAAAGGCTGCGCCGGGGGGCGGAGCATACGAGGGCTTGGAGATCGGATCTCCAGTGCATCTCCACGGCGGAGATGCTGCTGCTCCGCGAGAAGGACGACGAGGCTCGCATGAAGCACATGAAGGAGGTAGACAGGCGCGAGAAGGCCGCGGAGGCTCACATGAAGGATGTGGTGAAGGCTTGCACGACAGCTTGCGAGAAGTGCCAGAAACGGGCCAGTCGTTTCCATTCGGCCTTCGTGCGGAGACAGGGGAGCCTCAGTGACAGCCTTCAGAGGAGAGTGAAGCGAATCCAGTACGACCATACGGAGATCCAGCAGATGAAGGAGCAATCCATTCTTCCCAGTGTCATTGGCCAGCCACAGTCCGAATCCGACAAGGCCACCCACCTTTCTGTGCTCCATTACTTGAAGCCTCACCGGGTGCATGTGGAGAAGCAGAGGCAAGAGGCCCACTCCATTTACATGGCGCAGGTAGACAAGATCCAGCACTACCAACGAATTCTCGCCGACCCGAAGCGCGAGCCCGACAGGGGCGAGGTGTTCCTCAGCCGATGCTTTCGATATGTGTTGGCTGCTGGGCTTGCCGTCGATGATGCGTACTTCTTCCGAGTCTTGTCGCAGATGCAGCCCGAGGATTTCGAAAAGGTTTACACCGTGAACTTCCTGGCGGCCTGCTGTGATGCCTTTAGCATCTCCACACGGCAGTACTTTCAGTTTCTGGAAAATTCAGGCTTGCCCTGCCTAGTGCCCATGCCCCAAGAGGGCAAAGCTCTCATCTACGACGACACGGCAGCTTGGGATCCTGGGTTGCTGTTAAGAATTTAAACTACGTTACTCAAACTTGTATTCTATTCCCATTATGGTGACTTAATCAAGCTTCTATCATACAAAAGCCGTATGATTTATACTATATCCCCATTATCGTGATTCAAATTCCTTAAAAAAACCTCAGGATCAGCTCTGTGTCGCCCCTGCTCAGCTGGAGTCGGAGTCCTGGGCTACACCGTTGCCCCTCTACCCGGTCTTACCCACAGAGACGCCCAGGACCTCGATTTAGGGTTTTGGGTTTAGGGCAACCCCAGTCAGCCCCTGAACCCTGAACTTAAAACCTTCAGTCCTAAACCCTAACCTCGCCCGGCTTGTCCCAGTTGTGAGTGCTGAAACCTTAAATCCTCAACGCTAAAACTCTAAACCCTAAAACTCTAGACCCTAAAACTCTAGACCCTAAAACTCTAAACCCTAAAACCCGAAACCCTAAAACGCTACACCCTGAGCCCTGAAATCCTAAAGCCCTAAACCCTAAAACTCTAAACCCTCAACCCTAAAACCCTAAACCCTAAAACCCTAAACCCTAAAACGCTAAACCCTAAAACTCTAAACCCTCAACCCTAAAACGCTAAACCCTAAAACCCTAAACCCTAAACCCCAAAACTCTAAAGCCTAAACCCTAAGCGGAGGACCTCGGCCCTAGTCAGCCGGGACGAGCCACTGCTGGACATCCTTCAGTCGGAGGTCTTCGACATGGTCTTACAGCGCTGCTTGGCAGTATAGTAGAGTCTTAGTAGAGTAGAGTATAGTGTAGAGTAGAGTAGAGTAGAGTAGAGTAGAGTAGAATATAGCATAGTATAGGGCAGTATAGTAGAGTAGAGTAGAGTATAGGCAGTAGAGTAAGTAACCTCTATCCGTTTTAAGGAAATATGCTCCTTTTATGAACCCAATTCCGAGTGCTTAACCTCCAGTTCCCCGTTTTAGCAATTGGACCAGTGAGGCTACAACCTGGGTTCTAAGGGAAAGGCAAACCTGGTGTCACAGCTGGTTTCCCTGGCCTCGCGCCGCGCCAGTGAAGAGACGCAGCCTTCTACGATGACCCTCGCGAAGCAGGCCACCCCCAACCCCAATCCCTAGACCCCCAAAACCCCTTAAAACCCCAAAACCCTTGAACTCTTACGCCTTGAACCTCTGAAGCCGTAAGCCTTCAACCACCCCTTAACCCTAAGCCCCTCAACCCTACCAACCCCACACCCCACCCTGCAACCCGTGACCCCTAAAGCCTTAAAACCTATTTCCCAAAGCTGCAAGGCTACTTTGTCGACTCTGCCCTCGGAGAAGCTGCCCTGCGAGCCCTCGCCGGAGCCTGCGGAGGAGGGAAAGCCCTTTTATTTCAGGAATACCCAGACGCGATTTTTTTCTACCGTTATGGAGTTAGATCCAAAATAGAATCCTTATTGTGGTGCTAGGGGCCTAATTCCACAATGGCAATATCTAGGGAGTCTCTGGGGTACACAACTTAGGAACGTGTAGGGTTTGGGGTTCAAGGTTTGGGGGCTTGGGGTTTAATTCAGGGTTTAGGGTTGGCGGTTTAGGGCCTCTAGGGTTTAAGGCAAATATTAGACGATGTTTGTTTTGATTCACGGATATTTACAGTCTATATTCCGGAATTACGGGTTTTGAGGGTCTCTTGGCAGCCTAGAGAGGAGACGAAGCCCATGTTGCCACGGCCGCCCATGCAGATGGCCTCCCCACCCGTTCTTTGCCGAGGCGGGAGTATCCTCAAACGAACTAAGGAGCGGGCTCCATCTTTAACATCAGGATTTTAGTTTTCATAGTATGGGTCCTATTCCTACTATACATAGTAAGGATCCTATGTCCTATGACTCATAGTAAGGATCCTATCATATCCTGCTACTTGGTGTCTAGATGTGGTGTCCTCTGCTCCTAAACCCTAAACCCTAAACCCTAAACCCCTAAACCCCTAAACCCCTAACCCCAAACCCTAAACCCTAGTTTGGGCTCGAAGCTTCCTGGGTTATTCCTAGTAGTGGCTAGTGCTTCGAGTCGATCTCTATCCGTAGTACAGTTGTCGTCTTGTACACAATTCTACCTCGCTTGTGGGCATAGATCCTTAGCCATGCGAGAGGGAAAAAAGTTTGGGCCCAGGTGGTGGGAAGGTCTCCGTGGTCAGTGGCCGGCCTTTCGTGGTCAAAAGCCACCAAACCCTTCAGAAGCTTGGCGTCTCAGGGTTGAGGGTTGAGGGTTTATAGGAGGTGTGTAGGGTTTCGGTGCGCAGTTTTGGCGGGATTTGAGCGAATTTTGAGCGAGTTTTTTGTTTTTCTCCTGTGCTGCCTTGGCCCCCCTGCCCCCTGCCCTGCTGCCTGTTGCCCTCTGGCCTGTTCTGCCCTGCTGCCCTGCCCTGCTCCTTTGCCCTGCCCCCGGCCACCTGCTCCGCCCCACCCGGCCCTGGCCTGGCCTGCCCGGCTGCCGTATTGGCCCAAAAGCTTCTGCCAGCGGAAACCGCAAAAGCTAGCCGCTCAACCCACACCTTCTCTCTCATGATTTGCTTGAGGGTTTAGTTTAGGGTTTACGCTTGAGGGTTGGGGGTTTAGGGTTTGCTCCGGGTTCAAGAAAGGTTTAGGGTTCGGGTTGAGGGTTTGGGGTTTAGCCTTTTGAACTTATTTTGTTGGTCGTTTCGTTTTTTCGATTTTAGTCTCTACCTGTTCACAGGTTTCTTTTGGGTCCCTAGATGTCAACCTAAAGCCCGTATTGCCCACCCTCAGTGGTTTTACCACCAAACCTCTAACCCCAAACCCCAACACCCGAACCCCAAAAGCCCAAAACCCAAAAGCCCAAAACCCCAAAACCCAAAAGCCCAAAACCCAAAAGCCCAAAACCCAAAAGCCCAAAACCCAAAAGCCCCAAACCCCAAAAGCCCAATAACCCCAAAAAGCCCAAAATCCCAAAAGCCCAAAACCCCAAAAGCCCCAAAACCCCAAAAGCCCCAACAAACGCAGGAAGGCGCGAGGAGTGGCTGAGCCCATGTCCGTTCTGGCCCAGGGGAGCTCCCGAATGAAGCGGAGCCCCCGGCCGGCGCCTTCGACCCTTGGATCCCTGCAGGAGAGCACCCTCTCCAGCTTCTACTCTTAGGGCGGAGGGCTTTGGGTTTAGTTGTTTTTTTGGTAGGGGTATTTATAGTAGGGCTTATAGGGTTTAGGGGTTTTTAGGGGTTTATAAGATTTTAGGGTTTTCCGTGTTGTTTTTCTTTTCGGAAAGGTATTAGTATTGAACAGAAACTGAATTCTGCATTTCCGTCATGGCATCATGATTTTTACTTTCCTTCGCGTTGTTTTGGTGCTGCTACTACGAAGAACAAACGAGTTGCGGCCACTGTCAAATGGTTTGATTGTGCGGACTGCTCTTGTCTGCTTCAGTTTCACTTAAGACCTGCGCGGCACCGAGCAAGATGCTCCGCCGGAGGGTGGTTCTTTCCGGGCTCTCAGCCACTCACCCCAAAGCCTTAACGCAAGATGCCAGCATCCTAGAGCCAAAGCTCTAGACCCAGATTACAGTACCGCAGCAACAAACCCAAGCTCTTCGACCCTCCCATCCGTTGAGAACCCACTGACATGGTGTGGCGCGGTCGGGGAAATGCCGACCCCCGCCGACCACCAGTTATGCATTGGAAGAAAAAATTCCGAATAGTGCTGAACAGGAGGTTTGCAGGACACGCAGGGCTGCCATTGCGGATATGCAAAAGTCTTCGTAGCCTCGATCCTTCATCATGTATGATTAGTCCTGATGCGTACGAGCAGGAACCCGGTAAAGCGAACCCCGATTTTGAAACTATGGGCCGTAAGCAAAGTTTCAAAGCCAGCACTTCAGGAACATGGACCTGAGCGACGTGAAAGCTGCAGTGCGGACAGATCCCTTCATGGCTTTAGACCGTCTCAGGTCCGAGTTCCAGGACGGGCTTGGGTTTCAGTGTTGTTCGTGGTGGTGGTTGTACGAAGAATGAGTATCAAATTCGTATTGCAGTAACAGAAAGCCTGGATAAGCCTGGATGAGGGAGCGCGATCCGAGATGAGGTCTTGGGCCCTCAACCCTAAGCCTTTCTCCCCCTCTAAGATCCCACTTCTTCTAGTAGAGGAGATCGCAAAGATCCAGCACTTTGGGGGCGGCTCTCTGGCCAGCGGCAGCGTAACACCCAGCAGCGCACGGAGCAGTGCCTCCCCGTCCATGTCCATGAGGAAGGCGCCACTTTCCAGCCTTAGTGTTCCATTGTTCCGGTTCTTCAGGGCTGGCAGCGTATAAGGGCCTTAATAGCTTGAATAGGGTGTCGGGGTATATTTTAGAATATTGATGATTTTTGCCTTGTATTCGTCATCATAGCTGTGAGTGTGAAAATCTTGTGGCGAAATCAAAGGCCGTGAACATACCGGGCTCCCTGGAAGGTTAAAGCCTAAGCCGTTACCCCTAAACGAATATGCTTCGCACCCTGAAAGTCCACGCAACTGCAGGACATAGAACACTAAACGTCCCGACGTTTAATCCCTCAGCCCTGAACCCTAAACCCTAAACCCGAAACCCTAAATCCTATCCCTCAAGGACTCCAAGCCCGCGGCCCTACTGACCCTTTCTGCCATCCCAGGAAGACCGAGCCGCATAGCCTCAGTTCGCTACGTGAGGCCTTCGGCTGTAGGTTTTGGGTACAGGATAAGAGTCTGGGGTTCAGCATACTGTAGGGTTTAGGCGGAGGGGGGCTTAAAGAGGTAATTAATCTTAAAGGTTTCAGAGGGTTTCGATGATGGTTTATAAGAAATTACGGCCCCGCTGAATACACAGGATTTACGGCCTAGATTGTTGGCTCGAGGGTATGATGTGCGTTTTAGAAGTTTTCTGTTCAGTAGGAGCGTCTTCGTCTTCGTAGCCGTCGCAGGCAGCAGGCTGTAGCAGTACCAGTATGTGAAGCAGCAGCAATAGCAGTGGCAGTGGCAGTCGAAGAGCAGTAGTAACAGTAGTAGTAGTAGTAGTAGTAGTAGTAGCAGCAGCAGCAGCGGCAGTAGTAGTAGCAGCAGCAGCAGCAGCAGGAGTAGTAGTAGTAGTAGTAGTAGTAGTCGTGGTGGTGGTGGTGGTAGTGGTAGTAGTACTGGTAGTAGAACTAGTAGTAGCGGTGGTAGTAGTAGAAGTAGTAGTAGCAGGAGTAGTAGCAGGAGTAGTAGCAGGAGTAGTAGTAGTAGTAGTAGTAGTAGTAGTAGTAGTAGTGGCAGTAGTAGCTGTAGGAGTAGGAGCAGCAGTAGCCGTAGCAGTAGCAATATGCGCAGCAGCGGACCTAATTGACAAAAAACACAAGGAGCCAGAACAATGATCGGGACAATCACAGCATCAGCCGGAATGTAATGACAAGACGAAGCCTGAGCAATAACAAGAAGGCCAGCAATATCCAAGCAACAGGACCGCTGACCTTCACAGCCAGCAGAGCCTTAGGTTTCGAAGTCGTAGTAGTAACGGAATAAGCAGCATGCCAGCACTACGTAAGATCGAAGCTAGCAGTCAACACGCGCAGCAGTTGCAAGAATACCGCCACAACCCACCTCTTCCAAATAAAGATGGTTTAGAAACGCACAGTCGTAGTGATGCTTGTAGCAAAAAGCAAAGCGCATGCATGGATGATGGCAAACACATTTCATGAGTTGATGCTTGTGATCAGCATAGACAGAAATCACCTTAACCACCAACAACAATGCTAACGATAACTGCCGCATTTTGGCAGGAAGTCTCTAGGAAAAGAAAAGGAAAACAACCAAGCCCTAAAACCTTGAACTCCTAAGCCACCAACTCCGTCGTACCAGTAACCTTATTCGGCCTGTCCCAGTTGTGAGTGCTGAGATCCCCAAATCCCCGAACCAACCCGAAACCCCAAACCCTAAACGCTCAAAGCTCGACATGTTCCAGGCTTCTTCGAGGTCCTCGGAGCGCTCACGGCTGAGCGGCCGCTTCTTTGCAAGGCTTTCTACAGTGATTATACAGTCCTTTGGTATTACTCTCTAGGGTTCTATAGAGTTTTACAGGGTTCTAGGGTTCTATAAAGCCCCCCACAGGGTTTATGCATCATGTTGTTTTCGAGAATTGATTTTTTGGGAGTTTGCAGTTTGAGTTGGGTTTGTGGGGTTCTAGAGTGATGTCGCTGATTTGCTGCTATGTTGTTGTCGCATTTGGTAACAATGTGGTTGTCTTTAGTAGCTTTAGTATTTCTGTCTTCCCTTTCCTCTTGCACGGCGTCCCTCCTTCCGCATCTCCATCCGACTCCCTCAAGGGTACAGATGCCCTTCTCAGAACCCTTCAAGAATAGGAACCCCAGACCGAGGCAAGGTCGTGGAGGAGTCCTTCTCGCCGGTGTCCCTCCGGGATGGCTTGTCTCCGCGGGATGGCCTGTCCGCCCGGCG